TACGAAAACTGCGGGCTGGACGTGACGGAAAACGGCTGCGGCAAACCTTGACCCGAAATGCTGCGGAGACAAACCAAGTTAGTGAACGTGAATGTCATGGAAAACAAGCAATCAAACAAACAAACAAACAAACAAGCAAACAAATAACGAACAAGTGTAAAAAAATGACGCTAACACTGATTGACAAGGTTTTAGGCTAAAAAAATGCGGTCATGACGTTTTGCTTTTCTGGTTCTACCTTTGTTGAGGGTGTCGACGCGTGTTGGTTTACGTACCTACCTACCTACCTACCTACCTGCCTACCTACCTACCCACAGACATACCGACAGACACGCATACATACATACACCTGCATACACACATACACAAAATGCCACCCCCGGGAACGGGGGCAGGGGGGCGCTAATCCATGAAAGTCCAGCGGCAACAAAAAGCGAGGCGCAGAAACAAAACCGTACGGGGAAGGCGAGGGAAAACTCCCGTAAGGGTTTCACTTAGAATCAAACCCTAAACCCGAAAAGAGCATGGACCGGGTGGTTGGGGCGGGAACACTGGCTGCGCAGAGCGAGCGCAATGAGGAGGGCTGGCGTTAAAGCAGTATCGAGAGCCAGCCCGAGAAGGCACACCTTCTCCCCCAAATCCGGTCCAAATCCATAAACAATCCGCAAGCATCCTCCCCCAAATCCGGTCCAAATCCATAAACAATCCGCAAGCCTCCTCCCCCAAATCCGGTACAAATCTGTAAACAATCCGCAAGCCTCGTCTTCCACATCCGGTAAAAATCCGTAAACAAACCGTAAGCCTCGTCCTCCACATCCGGTAAAAATCCGTAAACAATCCGTAAGCCTTCTCCCCCAAATCCGGTCCAAATCCATAAACAATCCGCAAGCCTCCTCCCCCAAATCCGGTCCAAATCCATAAACAATCTGCAAGCCTCCTCCCCCAAATCCGGTACAATTCCGTAAACAATCCGTAAGCCTCGTCCTCCACATCCAGTAAAAATCCGTAAACAATCCGCAAGCCTCGTCCTCCACATCCGGAAAAAATCCGTAAACAATCCGTAAGCCTTCTCCCCCAAATCCGGTCCAAATCCATAAACAATCCGCAAGCCTCGTCCCCCAAATCCGGTCCAAATCCATAAACAATCCGCAAGCCTCCTCTCCCAAATCCGGTCCAAATCCATAAACAATCCGAAAGCCTCGTCTTCCACATCCGGTAAAAATCCGTAAACAAACCGTAAGCCTCGTCCTCCACATCCGGTAAAAATCCGTAAACAATCCGTAAGCCTTCTCCCCCAAATCCGGTCCAAATCCATAAACAATCCGCAAGCCTCCTCCCCCAAATCCGGTCCAAATCCATAAACAATCTGCAAGCCTCCTCCCCCAAATCCGGTACAATTCCGTAAACAATCCGTAAGCCTCGTCCTCCACATCCAGTAAAAATCCGTAAACAATCCGCAAGCCTCGTCCTCCACATCCGGAAAAAATCCGTAAACAATCCGTAAGCCTTCTCCCCCAAATCCGGTCCAAATCCATAAACAATCCGCAAGCCTCGTCCCCCAAATCCGGTCCAAATCCATAAACAATCCGCAAGCCTCCTCCCCCAAATCCGGTCCAAATCCATAAACAATCCGAAAGCCTCCTCCCCCAAATCCGGTCCAAATCCATAAACAATCCGCAAGCCTCCTCCCCCAAATCCGGTCCAAATCCATAAACAATCCGTAAGCCTCGGTACAAATCCGTAAACAATCCTTAAGCCTCGTCCTCCACATCCGGTAAAAATCCGTAAACAATCCGCAAGCCTCGTCCTCCACATCCGGAAAAAACCCGTAAACAATCCGCAAGCCTTCTCCCCCAAATCCGGTCCAAATCCGAGGCTTACGGATTGTTTGCGGATTTTTACCGGATGTGGTGGACGATCCTTACGCATTGTTTACGGATTTTTACTGGATGTGGGGGACGAAGCTTACGGATTGTTTACGGATTTGCACCGGATTTGGGGGAGCAGGCTTGCGGATTGTTTATGGATTTGGGCCGGATTTGGAAGAGAAGGCTTATGGATTGCTTACGGATTTTTACTGAATGTGGAGGACGAAGCTTACGGAATGTTTCCGGATTTTTACCACATGTGGAGGACGAGGCTTACGGATTGTTTATGGAGTTGTACCGGATTTGGGGGAGGAGGCTTGCCGATTGTTTATGGATTTGGACCGGATTTGGGGGAGAAGGCTTACGGATTTGGGGGAGTCTGGGTGCTGGAACCTTGAAGCAACAGCCAGCTTCAGCTTGTGCTCAAGTCCATTGGCATACATACAGCTCGGACATACAGCTTCCTATTTCCATTACAAAATCGGATCCAAGTAATGAGCTGACTTGGGCAACACTGGGCTGAGATGGCTACATTGATGATCTAATTGTACAAGTTTTTTTTCATATCTCATTGATTGTGCTTTCATCTGGATCTGCTCTCAACTGCGGTCTCAAATTGCTGCAGAATAGTGCTGAGACCACAGAAGCCAAAATGCTGATTGTCTGATGATTTGAATGAATGATCAACCAATGTTTGATGTCATTAGTGGCATGTTTGGTTTGATTAGTGGCATGTTTGGTTTGATTAGTGGCATGTTTGGTTTGAACAGGTCTTCAATTGAACCAGGTATTCGCTACTCGTGCTACCCTCTTGTCGTGGTTTTTAATATCTTGTCATGGTATAGATTCCACTGTCGTGGTATGACCAAACACCTTCATCAAGATCATCAAGATCATCAAGATCATCAAGATCATCAAGATCATCAAGATCATCAAGATCATCAAGATCATCAAGATCATCAAGATCATCAAGATCATCAAGATCATCAAGATCATCAAGGTCATCAAGGTCATCAAGATCATCAAGATCATCAAGATCATCAAGATCATCAAGATCATCAAGATCATCAAGATCATCAAGATCATCAAGATCATCAAGATCATCAAGATCATCAAGATCATCAAGGTCATCAAGCTCATCAAGATCATCAAGATCATCAAGATCATCAAGATCATCAAGATCATCAAGATCATCAAGATCATCAAGATCATCAAGATCATCAAGATCATCAAGATCATCAAGATCATCAAGATCATCAAGATCATCAAGATCATCAAGATCATCAAGGTCATCAAGGTCATCAAGATCATCAAGATCATCAAGATCATCAAGATCATCAAGATCATCAAGATCATCAAGATCATCAAGATCATCAAGATCATCAAGATCATCAAGGTCATCAAGGTCATCAAGACCATCAAGATCATCAAGATCATCAAGATCATCAAGATCATCAAGGTCTTATAAATGGTTTTAATATGTTATATTTTTTTCCCAACAGCCAGGTGGTCTTTCTTAAACTCCCAACCAGGCTATCTTCTTCATGGCTCGCCTGAGACGATGTTTCCCAGGCCCATGGCGAAAAGGGAGCGGTCACCATGGCTGGGAGTCTTGGTAAAAGACTCCACCACCTGGCGCTGGTTGAGCAACTGCCACCAGGTTTGGGGGATGTACATGACGTGTATCGGATATGTACATGATATGTATCTGATATCTACATGATATGTAGATGATATGTAATATGATATGTATCTGATATAGCAACCTTTAAAAATCGATCCGTTATGATCAGTTGGAAACCTGGAAATATGAGGCTTCCATATCAACTACCATCCTGGAAACACCCGTTGTAAGTCCCCCTACGGATCATCATCCCGTGGGTCTGAGGAATGGTTTCACCGGCGTACCCGGAAGGGTAGAATGACCAAAACCATCCCGAACTCATAGATGCAATGGTCAAAACACCCTTTGTTCATTTGTTCAAGATCTTCATGCAACCTTCCGGCATCTATATATAATAGATATATATATATATACATGGAGAATTCCGCTGGAAAGTTGAAACATGTTGAAACCCTCGATGAGTGAATGCCAAGAATGGATCTCGGACCACATATGGACCCGGGCCCTCAAAAGATGGGAGGGAAGATGGACCCCAGCAAAAACGATTTTTGTTGGGCTGGATAAACCAGTTGGGTGTGTCTGAATATGGGGTATACCCTCTGGTAATCTAACATAGCAACGGAAAATCGCGATATTCAGGAGGTAAATCATCGATAAATTGCCAATTGTCCACAGTTTTTTTGTCATCCCAACAAAAAAATCCGGATAAGTAGATTACAAGTAGATTAAGATAGATTCATCAAAATTCCCCTGGGGATTTACATATTTTACATGGATTTACCACAGAAATCTGTCTTTTTTGGGGGGATGATGCCATGATGATGGGCTATGTTCACTGACCAGATCCCCAAACCTCCGAGGTCATCAGAGACTCGATGGAGCCGACCACGCACAACAAAATGCCTGGCCGGGGGAAAAGTGCTGCCGCAGTGCCCTGAAAAACTGCCCGAAACCATGGGGTTTTTTCGAAAAAAATCTGGAGAGTTCCTGAAAAAATTATCCCTGATAAATTTATATATGATTTACATGATCAAAGAAATTAAACAAATAAAATCTAATAAAATCATGAGCAGCTCATCTGGATCTTCAGTTGAATACCAGAATTCCATCTGTTCTCCAAGAATTTCCGGTCAAAAACCCGCAGTCATTGCCATTCCAATGATTCCAATGATTCCAATGATTCCAATGATTCCAATGGGCAAAATCTAATCAGCTTCGCCTTGAACGATGATGTTCTGAATGGAGGTCCACGAGCCAATCTTCGAGAGATCGTAGCCCGTGGATGGATGGTCCACAAAGAACGGAATGGGGAACGCCGTCTCGGCCGTGAACTCCTTGGGGGTCCCGGGGTCACGGCTGACTCCAAAGGGTGGGATGGTAATGGCATGTTTCCGAACGAGAAGAAAGGAGGTTTCAACATGTTTCAACATCTAAAAGGAACAAGGAATGAAGTTGAATGAACAACAAAACAAAAATGAAAATGGTGGGAGAAACCCGTTGTCTGGAAATCTTCAAGATGACCCACAGAGAATCAACAGCCATTGCGGCCATAAAGGTTCAATTTCCAATGGCACAAACGCATCTTTCAGAACCTTCCGCGGCCAATACCATGTTTTTTGTCTGGTCATTTTAAATCTCACAGGTCCTACCATCACCCCTTCTTCACCACAACAACAACAAAAAAAAACTCCACCTTGGCCGCATCATCCATCCATCATCTAGATCCATCATCGAGAACCATCATGAAATATCTAGATCCATCATCCAAGACTCGCTGACGTCCCCAATGGTATCCGTGCGCGAGCCGCATCTGCGGACCACCGCGAACTCCAACAAGATCGCCACCAAGATGGCCATCAACGACGATGGGATCACCTTGAAGATCTGCAAAGGCACCTGGAACGGTCCCATCTGGCCACTTGGGTTGGGAAGTTGGGGACACCAACTTGAGGCCGGCCTTAGGGAGAAATTCCATCGTGATCATGGACACCGCGGTGATCACCTTCGGGGGAGGGTTTGCGCGTCATGACTTTCCGGCAACCAGACTCGCCTTGAAGCCATGAAACCCTGAAATTTGGGGCTCGCAAATGCAAAAGTCGACAGTCTACAGGACACCCCCGAAATCCATGGGTTTATCATAGTTTTCCCCATTGAAATACTCAATTTTTGGGTGTTGCCACCATTTTTGGAGTTGCCACCATTTTTGGGGGTATCGGCCATGTCGCACGCTTGCAGACCAGACACAAGCATCCACATGAGCTCAAAGCCTTCCTTCCAGCCTGAGTGAGTCTCCTCTGCTGACGTCGAACTCTTGTCGTGAATGGATGAATGGAGGCATTTTCCAAAGAATATTTAGAGGAAACAATGGCACCATGGTTCTTACCCCAAGCTACAAGCGTTTCCTATGAATTTTGTCGCCCTTGAATTCGAAAACTGGGATGACTGAAGGCGAAACCACGGGTTGTTGGACCATGGTTGGCCCATGAAATTCGGCAATTCAGCGAGCAGAACCCCTGGGGCTGTCGTCCTCACTGTGGAAGGGATGAAGTTGCGCCAGGCCAATGACAATGGCCAAGCCGTTGCAAAAGCCCACCATGACCTGAGCGAACTTCCAAGCCGCATGGCTTGTGAGCCACAACTTCCCCAAAACAAAAATGTGCTGTGAAAGTTGAAGTTGATCATTGCCAAGTTCAAGATCGAAAGTTTGAAGACTTCTTAAAATCAGCCACTATTCTGGCTGGAATCATTCAACAAAGTGTTGGTGGATGTCAAAGAAAAGAGATCTTTTGCAGACAACCCATGCCCACACCACTGAGTCTCCATGCTGGTGTTGGGAGCAGCAAGATGAAACGCGACAGATTGGAAGCACTGGCGGCAAGCATCAGAAGTCCTCCGGTGATTCAATGGGATCGCCCAGCCGGTCATGTCTGGCGCTAGGAAAACCATCAATTATGGTGGGTCAATAATTTCAATTATCCATGTCAAGCATACTGCAGCATACTCATTAATTCCTACACCATGGATCATACCATCGATTTTGGGGTCCATTAAAGCATCAACCCATAAATTCCTCCACCAATCATCACGGTCACATTGTGGGTCGTTCCATTTTCGTTACCCTGTTACCCTGATCCTCACCGTCATGAAAAAGTGACGTCACAGTAAGTGACGTCACAGTGATGTCACAGTGCGGTCGTTGATCCATTGAGTTTACCCATTATATCCCCATCATATCCCCATTATCCCATGTTTTTTTTGGGTTCAATGCCCCAGAAGTACCGTTGAAGCCAGCTCTGTTGACTTCTCCTGCCAACATCACGGAGGGGAACAGCAGCTCCACATGCTCACCATTTCCACCTGCCGGGGCTCTGGCAGACCTCACAATAAAAAATTGAACCACCAAAAATTAGGAATTGAAGAATTTAACCACCAAGAACTTGGTTTCAACTTATTGTTACCCTCTTGGCAAACCCCCCATGTTTACCCATTCATAGATGATTTTGCCACGAGAATAGAATGGTTTAACTCAGCCATGTCTCGATCTTCACTGGGAAACCCAAGGAAAGTCCCGCCTGCGCCTATGGCAGAGGAGTATGGACGCGATCAGCATGTTTCCAACTGAAGTTTAAAAGGTTAGTTTTTGAGGGGGAAGGTTAGTTTCGAAACCCGGGTTTTGGCTGGCTTGGAGGGGGGGCGGGGGAAACAAACGAACTCTGGGGAGAAAGGTTTGTTTCCAGAGAAAAAACAAACGTTTTGGGAGGGTGGTCAAACGTTAGTTTCAGGATGCCAAAACAAAGGTTTCGACCGAGAAAAAGGTTTGTTCCCGAAGAAGAAAAGAAACGTTTGCGGGGGAGGTTGCAGAATCATCGGGAAACTAAAGTTTCAAAACTAGAGTTTCGGGTAGGAGAAACAAAGGTTTCCAAACCGGACGGAAGGAGTTTGTTTGTTTCCGACGCCCCGCCCCGGAGTGAGCTGCAACAAAAGGTTGGGCAGCAAGACAAGAAGAAGAAGAAGAAGCACAAGAAGAAGAACAACAACGACAACAACGACAACAATAACAATAACAAGAAGAAGACGAAGAAGAAGAAGAAGAAGCAGCAGAAGCAGAACAAGAACAGCATCAACAACAGGAACAACAAGAACAACAGGAACAACAAGAGGAACCAGAAGAACCAGAACAACAAGAACAAAAGGTTGAACAGGACGAACAAGAACAACCAGAACAACAAGAACAACAAGAACACGAAGAGAAACAAGAACAAGAAAACGAACAAAAGCAAGAACAAGAACAAGAACAAGAAAAAGCACCAGCAAGAACAGCAACAAGAGCGGCAACAACAGCAAAAACAAAAACACCGTTCGACAACAACAACAACAACAACAACCACAACGACAACGACAACGACAACGACAACCACAACCACAACCACAACGACGACGACGACGACGACGACGACAACGACAACGACAACGACGACAACGACAACAACGACAACAACAAAAAAAACAGCAAGAACAACACAAGAACGTGGGGAGGTGCAGTTGTTTGGCTACGGAGATGTGTGGAAGCGAGCGCCATGCAAACAGCATTTTGCTCGCGGCGGAAACACGGGAAACTGTGCGGAAAAATAACGGAGTGGCACCTTAGCTGCAGACCGAAAGCAAAAGCGAAGACCAATGTGATTCCTTAACCTCGTCGCGCGTAGTCAACAATAATTCGACGACCGCAATAATACGTATGGTGCCACTCGGAAACTACGGACGCGGCAACCCCTGGATCTCCGTAGCGGATGGTTGCCGTCGACTGGTGGGTCTTCTGGCGGACCTTCAAAGTGCGCAGAGCAAAGCGGGAGGGCAAGACAGCAGGAAGGTAGGGGGCGAACCATAAATGCGGCCAAGTAGCTTCAACCCGGAGCACATCACCAGCTGTTGCGAAATCGTTCGCGACCTTGTGCTCAGCGATGTCCCACGGCAGATTGGCCTGCGCTGAAGAAAGGTATTTCAACATGTGGCAGTGGCAGTGACAAGCAACGCTGCAAAACCACGCCTGGGGATCGGCTACGAGGCGCGCCATCAGGAGGCCCCGTGGCCGACGGTGTTTCACCTGCAGACGGGGCTCAAACCTAAGCACATGAGGCCACATGTTAGAGGCAACCACGAGGCCCTGCACCTTCGCCAGCATTCCGAGGGTATGTGTCGCCACAGGCGCGGGGGCTGCAGAACACATAGCGTGGAAGGTGTCCATGTTCAATTCGCGGTATTGCAGTGGGCCTGCGTCAACGGTTTAGCAACAAGCAAGCAGCAGCCAAAAAGTAGCAAGAAACAACAGGTCAAAACACCGGTTGGCCAAGAGACTCGGATGTTCTTATAGACGAATTTGACGAGGAAGAGCTGGCGATCAGGAGGCGAGCCGCCGCAGAGCCAGTGGCCAGTGGCCAGCGGCCGTCGTGGCTTCTGCAAGGAAAGCAACCAAGGCAGGGAAGGGATTGTACTCTTGGAAGCGTTGCACGAGTTCCACAGGATGCGGGTCGCCTGCATCATAAGGATGAAGAGCCCAACTTGAGCAACGTAGCAGTTGCGCCAAACGGTGATCAAAAGGTAGGCGATCAAAAGCTTCCATGCGTAGAATGCCTTGAAGCCTTTCGTTGATGCAGGAGCAGGAGACACCGTCAACGAGAGCGCGCTCAAAGCATTGCACCATGTAGTTGTATCGCTGGCGGCACTGGGCGCGTACATCTGCCACCCAGTCACGGGCCGAGGGCGGAAAATGTCCAGCGACGAGAAGCTGCAACAGAGCCACGAGAGGCACCAGGTCCGAGTCGTGAACGACAGCAAGCACAGCCAGCAGCAAAGGCGACATGGTGAATGCGTCGCGGAAACTGCAGCGGAAGAACTGGAGACGGAGCGGGTCGCAACGTGAGTAAGGAGCTGCAGCAGAATGGTAGGCATTTGCGCTCAGCAATGTTGTGTGGAAAGGAACACTGGCTCGCAATGTTAAAAGTGTGATTTCAGTACACCATGCACAGAGAAGCTGCCAAACACCTTTTTATCGACCCGAGGGCAGGCGCGTGTCGAGTGAAGCTGTTTATAAGCGCACTGCCGCGAACCCATTCCGCAGATGGGCGACGCGGTGCGCAAAGAGCAAATACTCGCCACGGCCCATGGCTCGAATGGTGTGCCGAAACTTATTGAAATGCACCCAGTTTTGCTCAGCAACAGATGTGTTTTTCCCATACAAAAAGGTCACCGTGACTGCTGGGAGCGGGTGTTGACGAAGATGCTCCACCAAATTGATGCGAGAAGCGACATAATAATGCGCACCGGAAGGCCAGCGCATCTTGCTGGGACCAAGTGGCAAACTGCGAATGCCGTGGTAGCCGCACCTTTTGGATCTGAATTACCCGGAGCAGTCGCCCGGACAAAATGTCTAAGGCACTAAGAAAGCGGGAGCGTGCTTTCGCTGTGGCGAGAGTGAGGAAGATTGGCTCCGAACGAGCGGAAGCTGACCCTGGAAACTAACGTTTCGATACTAAAGTGTCTCAGACAAAAACGTTTGTTCGAAACAATAGTTTTCAGGGCTAACGAAAAACAAACCTTTCAACTTGCAAAGTTACGTGTCTCAACCCAAAACAATCGTAAACAAACGTTTTGTCGAATAGTTTGTTTCCGCACCAAAAACAAACGTTTCCGAAACAAATGTTTTCGCAAAAACAAACAAACTAGTCGAAAAAATGTTTGTTTTCGGGGGTTCGAAACTAGTTCCAACGGAGTTTGTTTTGAGTTTCCAGTTTCAAACTAAGGTTTCAAACAAAGGTTGGTTTCGAACCCTGAAACTTACGTTTTCGTACGAAAAACGTTAGTTTTGGGAATAAGACTTTTGTTTTCTCTTTCCACTGCTTTCAGAGCAAAGCTTGGGCAGCGCCACAACGTTAGTTTCGGCTTGGAAAACAAACCTTTTCTATCGTCTCGAAACATTTGTTCCAATCAGGAAAACTAACCTTTCTCCTGTCGAAAGGTTTGTTTCCATCCCAAAACAAACTCCTGATTGCATCCCTACTGTGGCAGAGGCCCAGAACCCCAACGTGCTTAATCTAGTCATGAAGCATACCAATGTTGCCATTTGGGGATTGTCTCAAAATGTCTTGAAACAATCATAGTAAAAATAAACAATAATAATAACTAATAATAATAAACAATAATTTCATTTTTTCACATACAAAAAGGGATTGGTTGATTGGTTTGCCACCTTGGAAGTGACTACACCACTACCCTCTGGTAAGCCAACCTGGCCAAGTGACCCGCCCCAGCTGTCTGTTTTTTGTCGATCCACTTTTGAAAAGCAGGGTTTCTGTAATGGTACATTTTATATCGTGAAAGAATCAATGTAATAAACCCAACAATAAAAGCATCCCAGTAACCAAAAATTAGGTTTGTCTCTAAAGATATCCAATGAACTCAAATTCCTCGTTGTCCAATCAAATCAAATCCGCTTCGTGGTTTCCTGAATTACACTACATCATAAATATCTATGTTCTCAAATCAAATTAACTTGATATGTCTACATGACATGATATCAAGTTAAATCAAATTAAGTTATTAAGTTATAGAGTTTACAAATTAGATAATATGTGTACATTGTATCTATATGTGTATGTATATATATATATACATATATATATATGTATGTATAGATATATATATATGTGTGTGTGTATGTGTGTATGTGTGTATGTGTGTATGTGTGTATGTGTGTATGTGTGTATGTGTGTATGTGTGTATGTGTGTATGTGTGTATGTGTGTATGTATGTGTGTGTACGTATGTATGTATGTAGGATGGATAGATGGATGGACGGATAGATGGAAGGATGGATAGATGGATGGATGGCTAGATGGATGGATGTATGTATGTATGGATGTATGTATGTATGTACGTACGTATGTATGTAGGATGGATAGATGGATGGATGGATAGATGGATGGATGGATGGATGTATGTATGTACGTATGCATGCATGCATGCATGGATGGATGTATGTATGTATGTATCTATACACACATATATATATATATATTATATATATACATATATATACTTGTATATATAGGCTCGTCCCAGGTCCTGGAACTACATACGATGGGGTGGGGGGATGGGGTGGGTTTATGTGAACTTGCAGAAGCAGTTGATGCTACGCACACGCGGGGTGGGGTGGGGGGGATGGGATGTTAACGTTCATGTGAACTTGCAGATGATGATGATACTAATGCTGATGATGCTGATGCTGATGATGATGATGATGATGATGATTTTGATGATGATTTTGATGATGATGATGATGATGATGATGATGACCCTAATGAAACTTGTCAATTCCGCGACGAAATTTTGTCACGGAATTGACAAGTTTTACCAACCTAATTCGGGTTTACGCAGTTCTAGGCCCTGGGACGAGGCTATATATACATATATGTATATGTATATACATACGTATATATGAATGTGTTCCCGAATAGAATTAATTGAAAATGACAGAAACGGAACAAAGCAACTGCATCGGTCAGTCAGCACCTTTTGTTATGCAGTTGGCTTTGCGGCTGTGTTTCTGTCAGATGCCAATCGCATCAATCACAAATGGTTTCACAGAAACTCTGAACTGCAGTGGTGGTGTCACACGTCAAAATCCACCCAACCCGCCGGAGCGTGAAGCTCGCGCAAGTAAGGAAAGGAAAAAGAGGGTTGTAGGTGGGAAAACACCACTGTACACCATAAAGTCAGCCGCAACCACCTGGCTCCCGAAGGACCTTAGGTGGCGTGAGAGTCGGTCTTACGACGTTTTGAATTTCCTGAAAAGGTGGGGACACTCATCTGGTCATCCAGAAGGGCCCAGAGAAATTTAAAATGGGAAAAAGCTTCACTCACTGGTAGTCGTCGATCAGGATGAAAACCAGTGAAGTTTGGGTGGGTGAGTTCGTCCGCCCACTTGTTGTAGTCCCGCTTCATGTGTGAAGGCGCCAATTGAACCCCAGCAACATAGAGCATGGCGATGAGCTGCATTAGGAAAGCTGAGGTAGGCATGTGCTTCGTCTTCTGGTTCAACAGGGCAAAGACATTGCCTTGATTGTCTGAAATGAGGCTGAGGGTACGAAGCAGAGATTTCCCACCCAAAGCCAGAAGGAAGTGGGTAAGAATCAATGTACCAAACATCTCGAGGGTCGCAATGCGTCTGGTTGGATCACCATCCTTGTGAGCCCATGGATGGTCTTCGAGGGGTATCTTGTAATGGAACCACCAGGTCTGTTCCTTTGATGGGTTCTCACAATCTGCAATCCACCCCCCAATGTAGGCCCCATCGTCCGGGTGTGCACTAGCATCACTGGCACCCCACCAATTGGAGGTAGGGTCGTAAGGGCAGGGCTGGATCTGGGGGTTGTGAAGCAGCTGGAGGAGAAGCTTTGAAAAGGATCGTATGAGCTTGCCGGGCTTCCCTGAGGTAGTCGTCGCGGATTTCCATGCCCAAAATGGCTGAAGAAAAGGGCGACTGAGGGGCCAAGCTGCCGTTGCCCAATTTAATCGTCCCAGTGCTCTCTCAATCTCCTTCACCGTGAAGGTGTTGCCCGCAGCAATGGTCTGAAGGAGTGCCTCAAGTGTCTTCCTCTTATCTGGAGGGAAGTCGACCACGGGTCCGCATGGATTGACCTGGAAACCTAACCAAGTGTTGACCTCAGATAACACCGTCTTGTGCCAACTGAGGGGGCATCCCATGGCTGCTAAGAAGAGAAGCAGTTTTGCAGTATCCTCAGTGGCGGAGTCCGTCCTGAGGAGCCAACAAAAATCGTCCACGAACACAAAGCCCCAGTCTATGTGTGGAAACATCATGTAGCATAGTCTGAGGAGGAGTGCCGCCATTCTGCCCCAATAAAGTTGGGCGCTGGCCATACCATAGGTACCCACCTTGTTTATCCACCATTCACCATCAAGTTGTGCTACCTGGTAGCGCCATTCATTGGACTGGACCTTGATGCGGCGGTGTGCTTTTGAAACATCTGCTTTCAAAAGTGCCCAGGTGGTTTGTTTGTGTGGAGGTTGCCATGCCAGGTCGGTGCAAGACGCTACCGTCCCAGATGTCTTCTCCTTCGTGGTGGTTAGCCAGTGAATGGCTTGAACACAGTCCATCACTGTGGGTGCAGTGGTCTTCTCAACTGTGTTTTGTTGGATGTGTGAGTTTGCATGGCCCCAGCTTCCGTCGTAGATTGTGCGGATTTTATCTCCTTCGTCAATTGCCGCCAGGGGCCCTGGGCAGAGTTCATCTGGGGTGCATCCACAGCGGAGTGCAGCCTCCTCCTGTGTGAGTGGGCCCTCAACCATACCCATATCTACCTCTTCCACAAAGGTCTGTCGGACCTGAGAGGAGAAATCTTTTGCCGAGGGGTAGTTGTCCCTGCCCATGGGTATTAGGAGGTCCTCCCACAGAGGGGATTCTCCTTTGAGTTCTACCTTGGTAGGCCATATACCTGGTGATGTCCAGGTGGGTGTGGTGACACCTAAGGGGACTCCCTTGGCAACCCTTGTGGGGTAGGCCGCATCTGCATCTCCACCAGCTTCCGCTAAGGCTGAGATGAGGTTCAGATAGAACGGCTGGCCTGGCTCCATCTCCTCAGCAATTTGGTAGTCCAGCCCGATCCCTTGGGCAATGGCCCGTCGTGTCTCCTGAAGAAGTTCCTTCGGGAACGGATGTTTTCTTTCACCCCTGTTGATGGACCGTTGGACGTCCTGTGCACATCCTTTTGCCAGGTGGCTAATGGAGTCTCCAATGTGCTTGATCTTGGACTGAGGTCTGAGCGGGGGAGGTCGTCTCCCGGCTGAGGGCTTACCTCCTCCATCCCGTAGAGGTCTAGTCTTGAAGCCTGATTGAACGATGATCGGGTCGTCATCCAAAGTCATCGTCTGGGAGAGGGGTACCGATGAGGAGCGGTCCGTCCGACCTGGAGGCTCCCCTTCCTGTTGGCACCCGTTGGGTTGATGTCCTGTGTTTGGAATGCTCTGGATGATTGCTGCTGCTAGCCCTGTCATCAGTGCTGGCGGGTACCTGCTGAGGTCCCGGGAGGTCATCTCCATTGGCCTCAAATGTCCAGAGTGGTTGCACTGGAGGCCTTGCCAATGGTGAATTGGAAGGTCCGTTGAGAAGGTCGTACTCTTCTGTGCCCTTTGTCCCAGTCTGCACTGGTCCAGGTGGATCTGGCAGTGATTTACCTCTTTGGCCCACTCCTGGTAGACTCTAGTGGCCCATATCGATGAACATTTTGCCGCCGTTGGTGCCCGACTACACTCAGCTGGGTCACGAGGGTGTTCCAAGAACGAGTGGAATCCTTTGTTTTGCCTGGCTTTTGCGGCTAGGGCAGTGATGACCAGTTGCCGGAGCAGAAGGATACTGTCCTTGTCTGTGTCCAACTGTTCTTCCAGGGAATTTGAGTCAAGGCCCCATGTCTGGGAGGGATCACGCCCTCGTACT